TGGTCTTTGTTGTTCATCATTGTCTACTGGTCTGTAAGATAAAAGTTACAGATTGAGATTTTTTTTGAACCTATGACCATAATTGTTTTTTTTTTCTTTACTCAAGCCAGCAGTCGTTTAAATGCTGAAAAGTTCAAGCAAAATAAAAAATATGATTTACAATTTTGATACTGTAATCAGATATTTGAATGCTATGGTTTTTCACTATTTGTTTAAGGTAAGTAAGGTTTTTTTTTGCTTTTTTTTCCAAATTTTTTTTTCATAAAATCACATGGAAATTTGATGTTAAGACCGAAAGAAAAGCAAAATAAATTTTTCAAATTACAGAATTTTTTCTGTTCTGTCTTTTATTCAAAATTATACATTGTAAGTTTTTGATTTGGATATATGTGGGCAGCTGATGATAATGGTAATCTAGATTGAAGCATTAGGTTAAAAGACTGATTAAAACTGAATGAATCGATGATATCTGTTTTACTAGCAAAATATCAGCAAACTGTTGCGTAATGGATGAACGTATTACACTTGTGACATGGTACCTCTCATTGCATTATATAAATATGTATTTTTTTCTGATTTAAATTTTTTTTTAATTCAATTTTAATGACAGGCAAATAACTGATTAGACTGAAAAAATAGCTGGTTATCCTGAGAGGAAACTTCTATTTCATATTAATTAAGACTTATTATTTCACAATAACATTGTACACTTAAATTGATAATAATTTCTTTTCGGTAACTGAATAATTGCTGTAACTTTACTTTTATCCTCATATTATCACGTATTTTGCACCCATTAATGTACAGGAATTGAGTGATTTTTTTTTTAATTTAACACCTAAACACATTTGAGTTCTGCTTTATCCAGGTTATCCAAAACTTACAATAGCTGTTTATTTTTAAGGCGGTATATCAAAATTTGCGATATCAGTTCTGATGGGTATAATAATAACTTCATATGAAGTATAGAGTTGCCGAAAATCAACACCTGATATTCAGTGATGATTTTCACACCAATATTTATGTAGCAGTTTCAGTGGTTTTTCCATCTTCGATTAGTTAACATTTTTGGGAATCTAAGGGTTGACGTGCAGTTGGTGATTTGTAAAGATTTGATTTTCAACCAAGAAGTATGTCGAATTTTGACTTTTAAAAGCTTTAGGATTTTCATATTAATACGGTCTTTAAGAACTGCGAATACGATTGTCTTCTTTAGCAGGCTATTGGCTGAAGTATAAAGGCAGGTTATTTTTAATACTTTACTGCCCCACCTTCTAGGAAATCAGATTGGCTGGGCATATCAAATCTGGTGGCTGGTACGGTCGTGAAGTTTTGGAAGTTGAAATTTCACAGAACAGATTTCTGCAGCAGAAAAATGGCTGAAATTTTTCAAAGAAAAATTTTGGTGTTTCGATTATTGTTATATCATAAATTTTTTTTTTGGTACATTTATAAAGCACAGTGCTTCAGAGATTGGAAATGGGTAGGAGGGTTGCTGTTTTGTTGATTTTTTTTTCCGGGATTTCTTATATCTTTTTCCCGTACTGCACAGATTAGCAGTCATAGTGGATTGACTGTCCGTATATAGAATCCATAAAAAGTTGCTATAGAATGAATTTGTCAGCAGTGATGAGTTAAGGATGTAGCAAATAATCCTGTTAATTTGACGTGTTTTACAGCATTACCATCTTCATCAATATGCTAATCTTCATTTTCTATTCGGTGAAGGCATCCATTTGTTAGTTGCTATTCTTCAACCTTAGTGCCAGCAAGAATTAGTACCAGCATTCTTCAAATAGAAAAAAAAAAAATTTCTAATGAAAAATAACAAAATGATGTTTGCGTTACAATCTTTCTAGCAACCAGTGTTTTAAATTTAGAATTGGCAAACTAAGCAGGAACTTGTTTCTGTCTGAAAGTCGCTTAGTATCGGCATTATTTGTGTGGTAGCTACTGGTTGTTGTTTTAGTCGCTTTTCATATGCCTACACGTATTGTATAAAAGAAGCAAAAATGATTGCGGTCAATTGTTGTTATAATGGTGGGAAAGTATCGATGTTGAATACTCGGGCAGAATCAGGGAAAAACAACTACTCCTGGCTG